TCTAAGAGGAAATTTAGAAACATTTGAATGCTCATACAGAGTTCTTCTTCAACACGGTCGTATGGCGGAAAACTTCAAAGATACAATAAAAATGTCAGATATTTACGAATCAGAATTAAAAAAAAAAGAATGAGAAACAGAAAAAAAATGAAAATTATGAAAGAAAATAGCAGGAAATGAGAACAAGAAGAATTTGAAGAAGAGGAAGAAGAAGAAGAAGAAGAAGAAGTAGATGAAGAAGAAGTAGAAGAAGCAGAAGAATCAGACGAATGAGAATTCTCATTCCTCCTGCTCCTCGATTTTTTCTTCCACTTCCTGTTCCTCTCCTTTTACTGTTTCCCCATTTTCCTATTCCTCTTCATATCCTTTATCTCCTACTCCTCCTTACCTTCCTCTCCCCTTTCGTTATCTTCTTCTCATTCTTTAGTTTTCTAATGTAACCTCATCTAGCGTGTGTCGGGAGATCAACAATTTTATTACGTTAAATTAGGGTTCAAATTCGTGATTTAACATTGAGAATTACTCTCGAACATAATTTGGAGGTCTTGTCGGACTTCCGGCATACAACATTTTGAAAAAAAAAATCAGTGGCTTCCTTCTACTGTGAGAGAGACGTTGAATTCGGAGGTTCAGCTGAGCTAGTAAAGGTGCATTGGTACTTTGCCAAAAAGCGGAACGGACGAGGGTAGGAAGAGGAATCGATTTTTTCTTCGAGAATGCGCAGGGTCCACGAGCTCATATGCTTCAATGCACAGGGGAAAATATTCGGTCATTCCTAATACAGTGAGCTAGGTTTTTTTCTCCTTATTTTATCATTATTTGTAAACCATTAATTCTTAATAGAATGGACCATAGGACAGGCCACGAAATTGAGCACCACAGTATATAATTCCTTACCGAAATTATACGTGGAACGCGAAGGACGTATCATGGAAACTTTCCAAATTCAACTCGGATGAGAAGATAGCGTTTTCTGGTGCACGACTACACAGAGAGAAATTTCAGCGCAAAAGTTTGGTTAATACGGGAACAGTTGACAGTTTCAAGAGAAAATGCCAGCTCATTTTCTTAAAGAATTTAATGAAAAAACGATTGGTGATGAATCCTAACGTTGTAATCGGAGGAATACATTTTTCCAGTCTCTCCATTATTTTCTGTGCTCAATTCGCCGCAAAATGTACCTACATACTAAAAATGTGTGTTGGTTTGTGCTTCACTTCCTATATGAACCAAAAGTAACACAGGAAACACAAATATGTTTATCAGCGTATTCGCGATTTGAGGCAAATCGAGCACTCAGCTAATTTCGATCCATTTTACAACGGAAAAATTTTCTTCTGTGCTAAATTCTCTTTTGGACTAAACTCAATGTTCGATTAAACAAACCGCACAACGACATTTTGTTTTATCGAAGTCGTCGTTAGATAAAGTGAACCTAAATTCTAAGGGATAGTCTAATTTTACTTTGAGCATTTTATCCATAACATCACCTTTGAGGGCTATTCGTTAATGACCTTTCCTCTGTGTCCCTTTCACTATCTTCCCCCATATTAAGGTCCTTTCTTCTCCCCCTTCACCCTTATTTAACGGATATTTGTTTAACAGTCCTAGATCCCCCTCTTCCTACAGTATCTGGTGTCAAATCATAAACTGTTGAACTGTATATTCCCTAGTAGCAGAACCACAGAAGAAAAAGATAAATATTATGTACGAAAGTTATTTTTTTTTATATAATGCATGCATACAAAAGTGTTAAAAGTGAACATTTTTATGTAACCATTATATAAAAAAATGTTATAATTTTCGTGAGCTTTTCGCGAACATACTAAAAATTCTTCTAATTCGCGAAAAGCTCACGAAAATGATGACCTATTTTTTTATATAATCGTTACATAAAAATGTTCACTTTTAACACTTTCGTATGCATGCGTTATATAAAAAAAATAAAAAATGTGTGTATAAAAAAAAAATACCTTATCTAGCTTTTATCATTTTTCATAGATTACGGTCAGGTCTGAACTTTGATTTTTTTTTATATAAGCGTTAAACGTTTTTTATATAAAACGATCATTTAGATAACAGATGTGTTTTTTTTATACTTTTTTTAGAAAAACAAAAATTTGTTCTGCTACTAGGGTTTCTTATGTGACGATGGACTAATTTTGATTAAACTGTAATGTGAAAAAGTCTGTTACTAAGAGAAAAGAGCGCTTTGAGTGTCATTAATGGAGTGCTCTGAAGTCTTTTGCTTTTTTTATTCTTTTTACAGAGAAGAAACGGTTGCACAATCTTAACATTCCGATGCACTTCGCTCCTTTGTATCAAAACTGGTGCAATGAAGAAGTGAATTGACAGAGTAATATGTAAATTCATTACAAAGCATTGAATTGCCAAGTTGTGCAGTTAAATATTAATTTGCGCATTTTCCATTCAAGTTTGGGAACGGAATTCTCCACGGGGTGTTGTTCATTCTCGTCTTTTGACTTTTAGAGAAATCGCGTACAATAAAGGTTTGGATAAAGTCGGTAAACACAGGATCGAGATTCGTCAATTTAGTTCTGAAAGTGTATGTGCGGGTTTTTTTTTTTTTTTTTTTTTTTTTTTTTTTTCAATAGAGACATGGCGATAATTTGTTTACTGCTCCAGCTGCTGTATTCATCTGGAACCCATTTTCTCCACCCATCGTGTTTCTGTCGTTTTCACGGAAACAAACATATTGAGTAGCACAAGCTCTCTCGCAAGCTAATGGAATTGAAAACTTAGCTTATTTGAATGTCATTCAAAATACATTTATTCATTCAGCTGCAGTTCCAGTATTCAAATCGATTCTCACCGTACGCCTGTGTCTTACTTGGTGTAATATGACTTTCTAGTTATTAAATTTTGGGGATTTTGCGAACATAACATAAAGTACAATCTCCAAAGCAGTGAAAAATGCATTCGATTCGCAGCATTTTCTTCTCGTAAAAAAACAGACGGGTCTACCTCTTCTTAAAAGGCGTCAATCACAATTTTGAAGATGTTGCACAGACACGGTAGTTCCATACTTTTAAAATTTTTGAACAAATCTTGGATGCCTTTGGGTCGCACAGTAAATCGAGTCAATCAGAGAGGTTGGATGTGAAATTTTTGACTTAAATTGCAAATTTTGATGTTTATTTTGCGAACGTAACATAAACTACAATCTCAAAAGCAGTGGAAAATGCATTCGATTCGCAGCATTTTCCTCTCGTAAAAAAACAGACGGGTCTACCTCTTCTTAAAAGGCGTCAATCACAATTTTGAAGATGTTGCACAGACACGGTAGTTCCATACTTTTAAAATTTTTGAACAAATCTTGGATGCCTTTGGGTCGCACAAAGAATCGAGTCAATCAGAGAGAGGTTGGATGTGAAATTTTTGACTTAAATTGCAAATTTTGATGTTCATTTCGTCACATTTTAAATTTTAAGAGGTGCTGCGAGAGGAATTTTTCACGAGGAAACCAATAGAACCACTTTTAAAATCTCAATGTTTTGCTTTAACGAAGTTATAAGCGTTTAAAATTTCCAAATTTTGTCCAACCTCTTCCATTGAATTGATCCACTATGCGTCACTTTCGTCGAGGTTTCGACGATGCCTCATGTCTCAAACAGAAGAAAGAATTGTCCTCATCCTCGGAAAAAGGAATCTTACTGTTGAGTCAGGGTTTTCGGGGGTTGGGGGGTGTTGACCTCGTATCCTCAGAGATCTACTAGAAATTCTTTATATAAAAAAAAATCTAAGGTATTTTATGCGACAAGTGTCTGACATTTTTGTCATAATTTGATATTGTATTCCAATAATTTTTTCCGCAAGAACAGTTCGAAGTTGTCCCTAAGACGTTTCAGTTTTCAAAATTGTCTCGCATAGGCAGATCCAGGGGGGCTTAGGGGGCCTACGCCCCCCCCCCNCACCCACCCCCCATTCGCCAGAGAAGAGGAGGAAGAAAAAGAGAAGGAGGAGAGAAAGAAAAGAGAAGGAAGGAACATAGGAAAGAGCAAGGAAAGATACTTGCATTTGATAATTATTCATGACAATATTGACTTAAACTGCACATCAGGTTCTTCAAAAATTAAAATATTTTCTGGGGAAGGCCCCCACCCCCTTGCAACCCTCGCCCCCCTGTTTGAGGTGTCTGGGTCCGTCTATGCTTTCTCGGGGGAGCCTTCAGATCCCCCTTGGAAAGTTGCCTTTTGGCTGCAGGTGCTTAGTCACAAAGCCATTAAACAACAGAAAAAAAAAGTTGCCTTCTTGTTCCTTTACAAAAAATATCCGGAAGTCCAGGCCTAAAAAGGACCCGCACAGTTCACAGAAACTCGAAATCGACTCATTGATTGAGTCTTTTGCGAACATTTTGGAACCGCACACGTTTAAATAGGCGAATCAAACCGGAGTTATGGCGGTTCAAAGTTCGCATTTAAAAGAATGTGATTTTGAGAGAAAAAAAAAACTATTTAAAACTTTGGTCAGTCGTGTTTAGGGTACGAGACTACCAGATTATTGTGCAGATTTATGCTTTTCACGGAAAAAATAGGATAATCGCCACAACCAGCGGCTGGTCAAAAATTCGGTAGCTAACGTGCGGTAGTCGTTGCGATTACCGGGTTAGTTAAGTCCTCTACCGCGATAGTTATCGTAACTACCGCACGGTAGCGGCCGCATTTTTAAGCAGTCTCTGGATGTGACGACTTTCCTATTTATTTCCGTGTTTTTTGACGCAAAAATGAACAGAAACGCTTATTTAAGACTCTTAAAGAATGTTCCATTGAAATCTCAAAATCCAATTATTCGACCGAACTTGACAGAAAATAATTTTACTGAAAAAGCTTCCTCTGTGGACTAAGGTCCCTTTCCCGTAGACGGTCACAATTAAGCATTCATATTATGCAATCGCGATAGAGGAGGAAAGCGTGCATCTAATTAAAAGGTCTGGACAACAATGTACACTGTCGCACATACTTTCAAGGAAAGTGCAGCATTAATAGATGACGACTCCTACGTGAAACATCTTATTCATCCGCTCGTTTAGATACTGTGTGCAGAGTGTGCTTTTCTACACGTAAAAAAAACCCGGAATGAATATAATCACTTTTCAATTTTAGCAGCGTTGGCCGAAGTGATGTTGATTTTAATACCTATCAGTGCATCGTTGTGTTATTTACGCGTGACATTTTTAATCACTTAGTGTTCCTCTGTTCTCTTAGAAAGCACTGAGTAGCTTAAGTAGGAATATAATTCTTTCGTAACATTATTTAGTGCAGTTTTCGTTTTTAATTTTGTTTTCATCTTCGCATCCTTAGTTCGAGTAGTGTTGTGGATCCTATACACTACAAGACTGACTGGCGGTGTTGATTGCCCTGATAAACGTTGGTAAGTTCTTTCCTGCTGCATGCCTAAAGCTGATTATTAAATAATAATAATTTTGCCTTTCGCATCTCAACCTACATTAATGCAAATATCGGGACTCCTTCAACCTCTGTAGTTTTTGAAAGATTCCGATAATTTTTCTCGCACTTCAGTATTCAGGAATTTAATGACCATGATTTAACACCTCTGTAGCAAATATTGAACACTTGATGATGATTAATTGTTTTTTTTTTTTAAACTTTTCTATTCTTCTTCAACTTCCGTCACTAGTACATCGGCGAAAGCTCTGTTATAGAAATATCTTATTAGACGACACAAGAAAAAGAAAGGACATTAACCGATTTTTTTCACCAAGTTTCAATTGGCCTTTTCGCTAATCCCACGCTCATTACCCTAGCCAAAATGACCAAATTAAAGCAAGATGATCTCCCTTGTACATGAAAAAATATTACATTTACTGCACTGGTGCAGCCTCAAGTAGTACGGTGCGATGAAAATATTGAAATAAAATTGCGATTAAATGCAACAAAAGTGCGATTTATTGGAATACAATCACAATATTTTTACATTAATTGGTTGAGAAATGTCAATTTTAAACAATCAAGAAGATGAGTTCCATGTGTCAAAAAGATAGGCAATTTGCGATGCATTAACAAATTGCATCTTATTTCAATTTTATTGCAATAAATTTCAATACTGAGTGTCCTTCAATCGGTGGATAGGCAACATGCACGACACTCTGATGCAGTAGAAATAATTTTACCGTGTAACTGCGATAAATTGCGATAAGTGCAACTTGGAGTGTTTATACTTTTTTAAAAAAAGATACTTTAAGCGTAGTAAGCAAATAATTACTCACGAGAGATGGTCTGATGTCAAAATTTTTTCAAGGGGGGGGGAGGGGCTCGGGGTCTAAAAGTAAAAAAGTTAAAAAAATCTCTAGTAATGGGAATTGACGATGAAGAATTTCGGTTCCCTTATCCCTCTCTCAATATAAGACCTAAATGCGTAAGAATGAGACCGTGAATAATTTCTCTGCCGTGGTTAGGGAAAACGCCGTAAGAGCCTTCAAGCGTTGCCAGATTTCCTCGGATAAAATACGAATTTTTAAAGAAACTGTTGGATATTTTTCTTTCAATTTTCAAGACAATTTTGAACACAATTCAATCGAAAATATCTAAAAATTTCACGGGAAAATATGCATAACGTACCTCAAAAATACATGTTTCATCCGGGGAAAATGGCAACATTTGAGTGTTCATACGGCGTTTTTCCGTAGCACAAAAGTTCTGACCTTAAGCTTGGAGTGCAGCCCGACCTTGTCTTGCATTGCGTCGCGTCGCGCCGTGACGAGGAATCGAAGTGACCTGCCTTAATTTTATTCGATTTTCTTTTTAGACTCACCATGGCGACGTTCGGGCCGGCAGTGAATAAATTTTAAGTCTCGAGCGATTGCTCAGTGCTCATCCGAGCTTTGCATTCGTTTACACGTCCATCACGCTCCCAGTAGGCTAGACACTTTTCCACAGTAGCGATTTCCGTAGTTGGCAACACTAATCTTCCACCATTAAAATCCATGAAAAGTATCGATTTAAGGTGATGCAAGCTTTTTTGTGCGACAAATTTTCATGGTATACACGGAAAAAAAAGTGTCAGGGGATATTCCCAAAAATTGTTCTACTACCCTTTGTTGGATGATACGGACATTTCCAATTAATTTTGGTAGCACCGCAACTCAAGTTGGGGTAGGACCGTAACATTTGGGTTAGTAACTTAATTTATTGGGAAACTACCAAAATTAATTGGGATACTACCACAATTAATCTGGGTATTACCACAATTAATTGGGAATGTTGGGACAGTTGGGAGTTGGGACTCCAACATTTGGGACTTAACCCCTACCTCTTTTTTTCCGTGTATTGACGAAAGGATCTGCAGAGACAGATTCCACTCGTCCTTAATCCCTGAATATTTGAAAGTCTTGAGCATGGATACGTGCACTAGCCCTGACCCGATGTTCATTCAAGGTTGCAGAATAATCAAATGGATTAAAGACCTCAAATAACTTAAAAAAGAGGATGTAGGGAAGAGAGGACTTAATGGTTAACACTGGGAGGGTAGGGGTCTAAAATTAGGTCCCATGCTTGACACTGGCGGATTCAGCAAAGTGACAAAATTTTCTTTTCTCTATGTAAATCTATGGAAATGCATCGATTCTTGGAGGGGCTAGGTGCTCCGACAAGAATCGATTATTTATCATAGTTTTAAATGGAGGCAATCCGGTGCTGCCAAATTGCTTGATCCGCCTCATATGCTTGACGTCATTAATTGATGATCCATTCCAATCTCATTTACCTTTTTTAAACTAACATCAGGAAAGGGAAATAGAGCTAGGGAAATAATAATAGGATATTATCTGGTTCAAGTAATTTTTTCTTTAGTTATACTTACATTTATTGCCTTCTCTTATTTAAAGGTGATTCCCTCTTCGAGTGGTCCATCGAATCTTCACTCTCATGATCGGGCCATCTCGGTTAATGATTCTCTTGAAGCCGAGGACTTGGACTCAATATTAACGGGAGCTGAATGCGGAATCAAATCAGAGGGGACACAATAGGCGCGAGACATGGTCTACTGCTTCCCGGACGTCATCGAACGGATCTGCAAAAATGGCGACGAAGAAGAACCCGAAGAATTGTTCCCTCCGCCGGAGCGAGCTTGCGCCTCTGCGCCGTCCGTCATACAGAAGTTCTACGAGGGCACCAGTGTCTTCGTCACAGGCGGCACTGGATTTGTCGGCATGGCACTTGTCGAGAAACTCCTCAGGTTCGTTTAAATTAGATTTTGTGCATGGCAAAGACGGATTCTGCAATTTGGCAACACCGGATTGCCTCCATTTAAACCTATGTTAAATAATTGATTCTTGTCGGAGCACCTAGAGTCCCTTTATACTGAGAGTCAAGACAATTTGAATCCATTTCTGATTGGTTCCCGTATTTTAGGCCTCCACAATGTCACAAACGGGAATAAAGATTACATTTTCACCAACTGCAAAGATTATAATCTGGAATGGACCACGGAATTACGGGTTCGGCAAGGAAGAAACGGAACGAGAGGAGGAACGGAGAAAGGCATTTGAGAATGGGCCGATCAAAGATTACGAAAAACGTTCAATTTCTGTAATCTTTATTCCGGTTTGTGACATCCATGAGCCGAATTGTCTTGACTCTCAGTATAAAGAGACTCTAGGAGCACCAGCACCTGGCCCCTCAAATGAACATATTTCTATCAAACAGAACAATGTGAAGGTGAGAAACATGGAGTGTGATCTAGAAAGCTGGATGAGAAACAATGTGGTCAGTGGGCGTGATTCCTTTCGAAGAATTGGAAAAGCGGGATTTTAAATTCAGCAAAGAGAAGTATGTGCCAACTGAATGCGGGATATATGAGCCGCGGGCATGGCACGAGAACGTTTTGGACAGGGCTCATGAGTTAAAGCGCACTACGAGGAGCCGCATCCATTTCCGTTGACGTCACTGGCGCTTTATTATTCTCATTCACTCTTACGGCCAGAGAACTAAAAATTCACCCCATCTTTGGGGGTCGATATCTCGCGAACGGTTCGTCGGATGAGAAAACCCTTCAAATTAGTTTCTTAGAATGATGTAAAGACCCCGCATACCAATGTTCAGCCAAATCGGAGGGGGTCGGGTTCCGAACCTGGCACAGTTGACGTGGAATGACCCATCATTCCTCCAAGTTTTTGCAGAATTTTCTTCGCACAGAGAAGAAAAATCACGGCAGTTTTAAAGAATTCCCCGGGAAAAATTGGCAGTAGAATCTGTGTTCCAAAATATCATAGACCCAAAGCCGGCTGTAAGATTTCCAATAGATTCTGTAGCCGGCTGTACAATTTCTTATAGCCTTTTATAGCCGATGGCGACTAAGCAACAGCCAGACGATAAAGTTTATACTAAACGTTACTAAATACGGATACTAGGACTTAGTTAGTTTTTGGACTACCGCTCTCTTTTTGTGCCGTAGTATCTTGATTTATTTTGCGAGGAAAGCTCCGTACTTTTGAAGGATGACTGTCATTCTTAATATGTTAGAGCGCCTTCAATTTCTAATGATACTGTACAATACCTCCGGTGTAAAATAGTTGCTTTACACGCCGTGGCACGCTGCGGCGCGGCGGGCGGGCGGGCAGAGAACGCGAAACGGGCATTGGCGCCTACAAACCTAACAGGGATACTTCACGCATTGCGCAATGCGTGAAGTATCCCTGTTAGGTTTGTAGGCGCCAGTGCGTCGCCGCTTCGCTTTGTGTTAGGCTCTAATATTTAATCTTGCGGAGTCAGCGTTTTTCAACTCATGATTTTAAAATGTTTGCACATCCTGTATGGATTATTCTTAATTTAATTGATGAAAAAAAAATATTTGCTACCTCTGCAAACCTCTGCTTTTCGAGACCTTTAAAATACCAATGGAGATGTTGCATGTGTGAGGAATTTGCGATTTGACTGTTGATTCTTCTGTAAAAGTTCGCGAGAAACACGATGGTGCTAGTAGTTTTTTCTGAAATCATCTCCCAAGCTCAAAAACAGCTCTCAAGTTGAGGCCAAAATGGAGGGGATATCCCACGCTATCCTGAGAGTCCACTTCTACATCAAAACAAACTCTCCATACAAAGATAGGGAGCAAATACATTAGCACTGATGTTTTCAATTTTGGAGTCCCCAAATAAAGTGGCAGCCCTGTTAATGTATTTGCTCCCAATCTTTGCATGGAGAGTTTGTTTTGATGTAGAAGTGGACTCTCAGGATAGCGTAGGATATACCCTCCATTTTGGCCTTAACTTGAGAGCTTTTTTTGAGCTTGGGAATAGATTTCAGAGAAAACCAGTGGCACCATCGTGTTTCTCGCGAACTGTTACCCAAGAATCAACAGTCAAATCGCAAATTCCTCACACCTGCAACATCTCCATTTTGCAAAGAACGAAGGATTTGTTCAATAAAGTCCGGGATATCTAGAAAATTTTGCCTCTGCTTTTCGAGACCTTTTATAATACCAATTATTGATGAAGTGAATCTTCAAGTGATGGCGGAAAAGAAAGTTAAGAGCAAAGGGAAAGGGTATATCTCCTGCTTTTTCTCTATTAGTTTAAATTCGCTGGATTAGGTAGATAAACAGGAAAAAAAGGAGAATGAAGAAAAACTTCTTGAGCGATTGGTTTTACGAGCGAATTAAAGGGAACAGTTTCTTCCGAGGAAATCATTTTAAAAGTCTCAGGTTAAGTAACCTTTGAAATTAATGGGAGAGAATATAAATTGAGGAGCTCATTGAAATATCGACGTATAAATAATCAGATTGGCTTGCCTTTGGTGCGCAGAATCTTGTTTCAAGAGCTCTCTTTGACGCAAGGACACGCTTCGCATTCTAACGAAACTTCTCCCGTAAAGAAGCGGATATTTCTCGGGCAAATTAGCCTTTATCAGTCCAAGCGCACTAAATCTTCGGAATACATTAACGAAGAAATATTTACTGTCCGAGAAGGAGCGTATTTTTATAATTTTTTGTCGTATTTCAATAACATTAATTTAATTTTGAAAACACCACAGTAAAAACAAACGGGGAAGTTCTAATTATGGTAAAGCGCTCAGCTGTTTTCAATGTAGGCGCGTTTTTAAGTTTCCCGAAAAAGATGAGCAACGATGAGTGAAAGAATTCGCTCACCAAAATTTCAACTATCAATTTTTAGAAAACTAATTACAGAAAAACGATTATCGTCATCCGCTCTTTGATATCAGATGCTTTAAATAAAGGTATTATAGATTAATCTATTGAAAATTTCTTTCTTTCCATTCCTTTTCCTTCTCATGGTAAAAACCAATTAACATCCAATCCTCAGTGTGGATGCACAGTTATTGTCACACTGTCACATTGTTAAATTTCAAAAAATTGCAACCGCTTAGTAAATACAAAAATAAAATCTCAAAAACTTTGCAACATTTTTGCTCTGATCCTTACCCCTTCTTAGGATGTCTTTTCGTCATTCCTTCACATCAAATCCATAAGTAGTAGGCTTTTCATTAGCACGCGGAGATTGACACCAGTCTTCAAAGTAATGCATATCGCGATTTCGAAATTACAACGTTGCCAATTTTCTCTTGCTGAAATAATAATTTTTGAAAAAAATTATGAAAATCGTCAATTGCAATGGTTAAAATCATCAGACCACACTATGCGAGGAAAATTCTCCTGAAATTTTAAATTATCAAGCATTGCCATAAAAGGATTGAAATTTCACGTGTTTAATTGATTCACAGTACGATTAAAAGCTGCCTCTGAGAGGTTTAAAGGCCCGGAATATTCTCAATCAATTCTAATTATGTCTGTTGGCGTTAATTTCATCACAATTTCTTTTAAAACATTACGGTAGAATTGATCTGATCACATTGACTTAATTTTTCAGGTCATGTCCAGGCATTAAAAACCTATTCCTCCTCGTAAGAGCGTTTAAAGGAAAGTCTGCTGAGGAAAGGGCGAAAGAAATGTTCTCAAATCCGGTGAGTGCATAACCAACAAAGTCCACGCACTGATGGATCTAAAGTAGAAGATGAAATGAAATTAAGTTTGCCCAAAAAGTGAAGAGTATCTTTACTTTCTATCTAAAAATCAAGGAAGTTTTTAAGAGATTACGTTGCCTAGTTTCCCAAAGAAAAAACAAAGAATGACAATAAGAAGTCTGCAACGATGCAACCGGAGATTCGTGGTTCCGAACTTTGGCACTTTTGTTAAAAGATGAAAGTGCTCTATTATGACTGAAAAATGTTTTTTTGATTACTCCAAACATTACCTACTATAAATAATATCCACCCTTTTTTGATCACAAGATAGTTACGTCGATCTGAATTAATACAAGGAAAGGAGAAAAATAAATAAGTAAAAAAAAGTGAGTAAAAGAGTTTTGGCACAGCTATTGGTAGATTTCTGGTGATTTGATTTCTGAGAGGGGCTGTGCGCGCTCACAGTAAGATGAATGTTCAATTAGTTTCAGGAAACTATTATGTTTTAGTTGTTTGGACCGCTGCTGTCACATCATCCAAAAATCATCGAGAAGGTGATAGTGGTGCCGGGAGATGTGGGGAAAGATGGCTTGGGAATCAGTCCCTCTGACATGAAATTACTTAAAGATGAAGTGAACATTATTTTCAACGTGGCCGCAACCGTCCGATTTGATGAGCCGATCAAGGAGGCGTTTTATATAAACGTGATCAGCCTGAAAACTATTTTAGCTTTAGCTAAATCTATGTCGAATTTGAAGGTAATACTTTCATTATACACAATTACTTGACTAAAATACTTACAGTGTCGTGTTTGTGGGTTTTCCCTATTCCCATTATAAAGAAAGAGCGCACAAAAATACGGCATGTGTCAATGTGATAAAAAGGTTTATCTGTTGCTTCATTGCTTGGAAGAGAAATTCACCCCAAAAAGATTTTCAAAGCGTAAATTGAATTTCGAATCAACCAGAATATTTCATCAGGAGCTTTATGAAATTGGTAGATATTTGCTCAATGAAACCTCACAAGTGACATGATATCAATAAGCAATCTGTTGTGATACAATGCACTTTCTTTGGCATAGATGTGATCCAAATAGAGTTTAAACATTTTTTCTCTTACGTTTGAATCGCACAAAAAGGAAAATAAGGTTGTAATCCCGGAAAAAAATGATTCAGATAAAATTTTGGTCACCTGTCAATAGGTTTTCTGAACGGGCTCGAAAGTTTGAAACTTTCCACGGTAACATCAATAGTAAGTTTGAAAATCTTATGATAGGTACATCTATTATTTATTTATTTTTCATTGTTGATTCATCGTAATTTTCAACTGGAAACATCGATGGTTATCAAACGAACGGTAAAAATGTCTCTATTTTCAATTTAATAAATCTACTTGGAATAGTTGGAGATGTTAAAAGTTTATTCTCAAACTCTCTTCGCTACCCCCGTGTAATTTTTTAAAAAAAATTCTAGATTACCCATTTCACGTTCTAAGTCATCAATACATGCCAAACTCCTACAAATTAGATCTTAGTGCTATCATCAACCTCCTAAACCAAATTGTATGTATGTATTTTTTTATTGGTTCCCTCCATAATGGTTAATTCTTCTTTTTTTCTGTTTAATCTTAGGCTTTCGTTCATACCTCAACGGCTTTCAGCCATTGTCACCACTCTTCCCGACTTATCCAAGAAAAATTCTACCCAACTCCATATACGGAATCTCAAATTGAGACTCTCCTAAATTCGACTGACGACTACACCGTTGGTTGCCTCTCTAGACTGTAAGTAATTACCACGAATTTTTTTCGCCCTATTTTTAAACTTCAAACTGGTTCAAACACTGCGGTATAAAAATTATACTAATATAAATAAAACTGGTACTGAACAACGCTCAGCACCATACTGTATTGCTACGATAAAACTACGTATGAACATTTACTCATTGTCGGATTTCGTATGATCATCACATATCAGAAAATGTCAGTACATGTCTCCTTGAATTTCTAGATAGATTTACAAGGAAAATTTTCTGAAAAATTTGAAGAATGAAACTCATAGTTTCCCAGAATATTATTGTTTAATCAGAAGAAATTTTGTAACGTCGGAATGCTCATACGTCATTTTTACTTGGCACAGCATGGTCAGCATTATCAGCTTAGATGGCGCATGCAATGATCTCAGAGATCTCCCAAAGCGCCCTCCGAAATTGTGATACCTCCTAGCAGTACACCGACGTTCGAATAGTTGCATCGTTTAATCGGACTGCATTACGCAAAAAGGAATTGTTATTTTTGGTTTATTTTAGAAACAACTTACGTAACATTATAGTTTCCCCATGTATAGATTTGTGATTTTGTAAATGAGCCAGGAGTAATGATTATTTTTGCCATCATGCATGCCAATTTCAACGCCTCCCGATTAATTACCGGAGATTCAACGATGATTCTTATTCTTCTTCTTCTTCTTCTTTTTTTCTTTTTCTTCACGCGACTTTTGTCCTCTTCACTCTGTTTTTGCTCTGGTGTTTCGGTTTGAACCTTGAAAATCTAAAATTATGTTTAACAAACTTCGAAACCATCATATCGCCTGTCTGAAGGACTATAAAAAGCGCCAGTATTTCAACTTCTCGGGGGACATCCCCCATCCCCCCCCCCAAAAAAAAAGAAACAAAAAAAAGATTTTTGACGGCTGGTTAATAATCTTAGATGAGGTTGAATTTTTGCACATAGGCGTGAAGTACGCTCAATGAGTGTTAAAGATAACGATTGTTTTTAACAAGAAAATTGAGGCTTGTGATCTGTGTGTTTGGTTCTGAATCCTTAGAATTGAACAAGACCAAAAGGCAAAAGACAAAGTTGTAAAAATGTATCTTCACATCGTAAAACTTGGCGCTTGTAGGTAATACTTTTTCTTAGACATTGCGCTTGTGGAACGCATTTTCTTCAATTTAAGTACAATTCTTCCAAGAAATAAATAATTTTCATTAAATAAAAAATATTTCCCTCAGATTTAACAGTATGTGAGAAAATTCTAGACGCTTGAGAACTCAATTTCAGTAAAAAAATATATAATATTCTTGGAAAATATTCTTGGCAAGGGACAATGTGAGAGGTAGCAGAGGATGCGGAAAGATTCACAGCCTCAAATCAAACACGAAGTCCTTTGATTTTCTTTAACTCCATCAAGGATCTGAGGTTATGCCGCGGTGCATAATGAGAGAGAAAGATTTGGAAGAGATTACTGCAGAATAATATTTCGTTCTTTGCAATGACTTCTCACTCCCCTTTTCATGGTAGAAGGAATGCGCCTTGAGCAAGATTCATTCGTAGTGATACAAGATTAGTCATTTATTCAATTTGTTTCAAATGAACATTTCCCTGGAGTTTTTATTATTGTTTTATTTATTCATTCTTCTAACGAAGACTTAAATCTCAATGAAGAAAGGTATACTTGAAAGAATATCTGGCGTCTTATTTGACAATATACATACTTTAAAGGGGATATGGGATAATATTATAAAGTATACAGATATGCTTGATTCACTTAGCATTCAGGCTCGTTCTATCTGATTTTGCATGCGGACCATACTGCCGACGTCGGGTTTGTTTAATTCACCCTTGACACGTCTTCGATAACGATTTTTTCAATGTTTTTAAAATCAAATACAAATCATTCAAATACGCAAGGCATGTTGCATGCATGCTGCCTTGTCACAATGGGCCTGTTGCAAACTTTTGCTAGAGCAAAAATAAGAGTTGTTTCTTATAGATAATGCCTCAAAAATCACGATGAGCGCATCGGCAAAGTCTGAAATGCAATCATAACTTCACAGTCTGCGTAAGAAATTTGCGGTTTTTTGAGCTTCCCGCTTCAAAAGCGATACTACGGCACAGGTGAACATTTTGAAAGAGGAGTCGTTCCATCGTCGGCAATACTCATCATGGCCGACGCCAATCCGCCAAAACCGTAGGGATGCAGGGAAAAATAAGGGATTTACGAAATAAGAACACTCGGTTCGGTGTATCGACTTTTTCTTATATTGCACCGGAGGTTATGAAAAAACTCAGCTGATGAGAATCGTATTAATTTTTGCTCTTACGGCATTGCCATATTTCAACTCGCCTCCTCAAAAATTAATTTCATTATTAATGAATGTTCACTGGGAAAACATGCAGGTCCAACATTTGTTGCAACGGATGAGGGAAACCCAGAAAAACCTCACCAGACCGAAAAAAAATTGCAAACAAATTTAGAATTTTGACTTGAATTATGACAAATTTTGACTTAAATTTTTAACAATTTTTGAATTTTGAATCCACTTGAATTTTGACCAGTTCACTTGAATTTTGACGAATCTACTTGAATTTTGACGAGTCCACTTGAATTTTGACACAGGTTTAGAATTTTGAATATTTGACGAGTCCACTTGAATTTTGACTTGCTGATTTTGATTTGCTAATTTTGAAGACCCAGCCTTGGTCTTAATCGCTTGAATTTTGTGGTGGATAACGGCTTGGTCAGTAAATCGGCTAGCTGATCACCTGTTGGAACATATTTCACATTTATTAGCCCTTTTTCTACCTGTTCTCTAGAAAAATGATACTTTACATCTATATGTTTTGATCTTTTGTGGCTACTAGGATTTTTCGCAATACTTATACAACCGGTGTTGTCTTCATAAATTGAAATGGGAGTTATTGCAGTCATATTAACACTACTCAGAAACGATTTCAACCATAGAGCTTCCCTGACAGCTTCAAAAAGCGCCATATACTCTGCTTCGGTGGATGAGGCAGCCACAGAGTTTTGCTTTTTGGTATTCCAACAAATGGTACAGTTCTCAAATAATTGAAATAGGAAGCCTGTCGTACTCTTTCTATCGTTCTCATCTGTTGCCCAATCAGAATCACAGTGACCACTCAAGATATCCGTAAAATCAAGTTTCTTTGTATAGGTCAATTTCAAATTCCTTGAGCCTTTTAAGTATCGTAACACCCTTTTCAAGTACTGCCACAAGATCTTATTGTTCTTGCTAGTATATCTGCATAAAATACTTATTGCAGCGCACAAATCAGGTCTTGTGCATATCATTATGTACATCAAACACCCAATGAGGTTCTGAGAGGGTGCTTCGTTCGCTTCAACTGAATTAAGTTCTACAAAATCTAATTTACTTGGAAGTGGGGTGTCAACGGCATTACAATCAGTCATATTAAACTTCTTCAAAACTGTATCAATATAGGCACATTGACTCAAAGTTAAAATCCCATCGCATCTCTCAACTCTAATTCCCAGAAATAATCTAATATTTCCAAGGTCCACCATACGAAATTCACTCATCAAATATCTTTTAAAATTATTCATTGTTTCCATATCTTTGCAAATAATTACGACATCATCAACGTACAAAACAACATAAATGTTTTTATCAACACTTCCTTTGTCCAAAAAAAAAACACACCGATCAGCAGGTGAAGTTTTAAACCCTGCTTTAATGAGCTTCACATCAAAAGTCTCAAACCAACATCTAGCGGCTTGTTTTAGACCGTATAAAGATTTATTGAGCTTGCACACTTGATTACCATCACTTAAAACTCCCTCAGGAATTCTCATATAAATTTCCTCTCTCAAAGTTCCATTTAGAAAAGCTGTTTTTACATCCATTTGATGAATTAGCAAATCAAATTGGTTGGCAAAAGCCACCAGAATTCTGAAACTCGCTATTCGAGTGACAGGAGCAAAAGTTTCATCATAGTCTTCAGCATATTTTTGACTGAAACCACGAGCAACTAACCGCGCTTTATGTTTTTTAGGTTTCCCAAATTCATCCTTCTTAATTGTAAAAATCCATTTACAATCAACAATATTTTTATCCTCAGGCTTTGGTACAAGACTCCAAGTCTTGTTGAATTCGAGAGAGTCAAGCTCCTCTTCAATAGCCTGTTGCCATTGAATTTTATCAGCTCTATTCTCAACTTCATTAAAAGTCTTGGGTACATCACAGTCAATGGATTGTGCATGTAAAATGAATTCATCAAGTTCATTTAGATCACTCCTCCTTGACCCAAAAAACTCATTCTCACGATTTTGGGGCTTCATAACACAGTTTTTATCCATCTCTACATGGATCCTAGCATCACCCTTTTTGTCTTTACTAGAGTTATAATCCTGTTCTGCGCTTTTCTTTATCTCAAGTTCTTTATGAAGGTCTGATTTTGACTTACAGTCAGATGCATCAGTTCCTTCTTGAGTTCTCAGTTCTGATGTTGACGCACAGTCAGTTGCATCAGTTCCCTCTTGAGTTTTCAGTTCTGATTTTGACGTACAGTCAGATGCATCAGTTATTTTCTCACTCTCTGTATCCACAGAGCACTTTAACGCAGGTCTGGATTCTAAGTAATTTGTTTCATCGACAATTACATTTCTAACTCTGACAAATATTTTCTTCTCCGCATCCCACACTTTATACCCATTTGGTTCATAACCAACTAAAATGCCTTTAAAGGATTTTTCATCAAATTTCCTTTTTCTAGTGTCATTATGAACATAGACTGTAGATCCAAACACTTTCAGAAATTTTATTTGCGGCTTTCTATTGTGCCATGCTTCATATGGAGTCACAGCTGAACTCAAGGCCCTCGTTGGCGATAAGTTTACAAGATATGTTGCTGTAAGAACAGCTTCTCCCCAAAATACTAAGTTCAACTTAGCTCCACTAAGCATTGCACGAGCTCGCTCTGTAATCGATCTTATCATACGCTCTGACACTCCATTTTGCTGT